CAAACATTAAATATCAACAACTAAAAATTAGTCTTGAGGTTTTCGTCGCCTGCCATATATCGGGGAACTGAGAAAAAGTAGATTAAATACTAAAACGTGAAGGTTTAAGAGTAGCTTTTAAAGTTGCGTGTTCACTTAGAAACATTTTCTCAAGTTCTACAAACAAAGTTGACAACTTATCGAATAGTGTGGTTTATCTACTTAATGGTAATGATAATTGCGCTATTAAATATATAGAAAAAAGCGTCAGAGATATTAAAACGATATTTAAAAAACTTTTGTATAAATCTAACAAATTTTCATAATTTGAAGACCGTATTGGTGAAACAAAACACAATTTTAAAATAAATTTAAATACAATAGTGTTACTCAGTAAAAGAAAGAAAGGAAATAGGTTCTTTTGAGAAGTTTGAAAAAAAATATATATATATATGGAGAATATTTAGTTTCAATATATAGGAAATAGCGTCAGAGATATTAAAACGATATTTAAAAAACTTTTGCCTAAATCTAACAAATTTTCCTAATTTAAAGACCATCTTGATGAAACAAAACACAATTTTAATATAAATTACACAATATCAAGAAAGAAGGGAAATTTATTGTTTTGAGAAATATGATATTAAAAAATATGAAAATACATACATGGAGATAAATGAATAAATGACATAAAAGATTTTGATTTATCACATAGTTTAAAGAAGTACCTAAAATTAAACATACAAATTAATCACAAAATGAGTTTTTTTACAGTTTTTGTTAAGATAATATTTAGTTTAAATATATAGAGAAAAGCGTCAGAGATATTAAAACTTGATTTAAATAACTTTTGCCTAAATCTAACAAATTTTCCTAATTTAAAAACCAGCTTGAGGAAACAAAACACAATTATAATATAAATTTAAATACAATAGTGTTACACAGTATCAAGAAAGAAGGGAAGAAGTAGATTGTTTTGAGAAATCTAAAATTAAAAAATATGAAAATACATACATGGAGATAAATGAATAAATGACATAATAGATTTTGATTTATCACACAGTTTAAACAAGTTCCTAAAATTAAACATACAAATTAATCACAAAATTAGTTTTTTACAGGTTTTGTTAAGATAATATTTAGTTTAAATATATAGGGAAAAGCGTCAGAGATATTAAAACGTGATTTAAAGAACTTTTGCCTAAATCTAACAAATTTTCCAAATTTAAAGACCATCTTGATGAAACAAAACACAATTTTAATATAAATTTAAATACAATAGTGTTACACAGTATCAAGAAAGAAGGGAAGAACTAGATTGTTTTGAGAAATCTGAAATTAAAAAATATAAAAATATCTATATGGAGATAAATGAATAAATGACATAATAGATTTTGATTTATCACACAGTTTAAACAAGTTCCTAAAATTAAACATACAAATTAATCACAAAATTAGTTTCTTACAGTTTTTTTAGGATAATATTTTGTTTAAAGAAGGAAAGAGCGTCAGAGATATTAAAACGTGATTTAAAGAACTTTTGCCTAAATCTAACAAATTTTAACGTTCAAAATTGAGCGGCATTAAATCCAGCTTCTCATCGGAACGACTTGGTGGCGGTGGATCGGCGGGTTCACTTTTACAATTCAAGTCGAGAAACATTTTGTAACTCTTTCAACCTGATGATGAATATTTAATGTCCAAAATCCGGATTTGTGAATAATAAATCTGTGATCATCTACCAAAAGTGAATCTACATACTCACCCCACCTTCATCATTTCTATAGATCCTACGAACGCTTATCTTTTCCTTTTCAGTTCGTATCTCCTAATTTGTCTCCCCTTATCGCCTCTTTCTCGTTCCATCCCTCGTCGGATCTTCGAGCCAATCGTAAATGACGTGCCTAGTTCTCTGATTCGGTGCCAGATCGTAACAATTATTCATTAAAACTGACGTTTTATTTATTTTTGTTAAATGAACTTGGTGAGTGTTTTTTTTACTGTCGTCTTTTTAAATTGGGTTTGTTTGTATACGTTCAGACATTTTAAATTTTCTCTTTTCAAGTATTTTTTTGCGTGGGATGAAAAAGAAAACAAATACAAATAAAACCAGGCGAGATTAGCGAGGAAATAAACGCCGGTTTACAAAAACAGAATGTTATAAATCACTGAGTAATGTACCAGGAGACTTATCTACCAATGTAACTGGGCTAATCGTAAATGAGCAGTATTTGCTGGCATAAGCAACCGCCCACATGTATATATTACGCCTGTCCAATTACTCTCCGAAACCCTGGATTATAGTGGCCAGCTTGGAATTTTACCCTTTCATATAATCTCAACCGGTTCCTTCCAATATGAGGATAGAAACGGGCACCGGGTTCAAGGTGGAGAACGGGCCGTTAGAGTCTGAATGGGGCCAAGTATTTCTATCGGGGGGTAGTTTATTGTCAGACTGGCTAATAATTGATCTCATTTTCCCATTGGCTGGATATTGAAAGAGTGATTTACTACCATTCTGGCTAATAAACGTGTTTATTACACCGATAAAGGATTTATTTTGCGGAGAATATCCCATTAGCAGCCTTAAGTCGAAACTACACAACACACATTTAGAATAAATCATCCTAATCTGATACAATCTTTTTCTATTAAAAGTGGTTGTATTAAACAAAAAAAAAACAACTTTCAAGTCTAAAAACTTGACTTTAGTCAATTTAGTTAACATCACATGTCTGAAGAAAATGGATAAATAACTAGTGTCAAAGTGTTTTTGACCGGTGGTGGCCGAATAAATAAAATTGAAAATCTAAAAAAACCTTTTCTCTTCTGCGACCTTTGTAGATCTATTGCAGTACGGCCAAAAGTAGACATCAGGCATCACTAGTTTTTATAGAAAAGCATACTCATTTAGTACTTTTATAGCTGTAACTACCTATATAATTTGTTTTTCATCTTTCATTTTCTAACAACATTGAAAAAGGATCTCCGGTGAGGTCAAAAGAGAACGACAATTGTTTAAGTTTTTGCCGAGCTTTCAACCATTAAATGATAACAATAATAACAAATACAATATATTCTAACTGCTATATTTTCCTCAATAAATAGGCCCTGATGATAACGATATAATCGTCGAAATCTCAGCAAAAACTTGAACAATTGCCGTTTTATAAAAATGATGAATGGTGGAGTGAGTGCGGTGTTCAGTCCTTTTTAGAAAGATAGTTCCTACTCACAGTAAGTTGGTTTCCAACGATCCGGATTTCGAGCTTTTAGCTCATCATCAGGTTGAAGGAGTTCTGCGACGACGTTTCTCAACATGAATTGCAAAAGTGAACCCGGAGTTAAAGCATTTATCTCCATGTTCAATTTTACATTTTTTAAATTCAAATTTTTCAAACCAATCTAGTTCTCTCCCTTTGTTCAAACTATGTAACACTGTTGTATTTAAATTTCAAATTGAAATTATGTTTAGCTTCTTTTAGATGGTCCTTAAATTCCGAAAGTTAAAGAACACTTGTCTAAATCGAACAAATTTTCGGAATTTAAGGACCATCTAAAAGAAGTTAAGCATAATTTCAATGCAAATTTAAATACAACAGTGTTACACAGTTTCAACTAAGGGAGAAAACTAGATTGGTTTGAAAAATTTGAAATTAAAAAATGTAAAATTGAACATGGAGATAAATGTATTAATAATATAATATCTCCCATTTTAAATATGTACTTAAATAACATTAAAGGTCCAAATATTTAATTAATTAATTTAATTGTTATTAAATTTATCATAATTTACTAATCTATTATTAAGGTATTATTCTATTTAATTTTCATCTTTTATCTGTAATCGTACGAATATAATATTTACTTGTATTATAATTCCCGTTTTTCGCACGCTCAAAATTGAGCGGCATTAAAAATAAACTTCTTATTGGACCGTCGCGTTGGCGGGGGTATCGGCGGGTTCACTTTTGCAATTCATGTCGAGAGACGGGGTTGTAGAACTCCTTCAACTTGATGATGAGCTAAAAGCTCGAAATCAGCATCGTTTGAAAACAACTTACTCTTAGCAGGAACAATCTTTTTAAAAAGGATTGTAGTTCTATTGTGACCTCACCGAAGAACCTTTTTGCACTTTGTTCAACAGCAGGGCGATCCATAATCTCATCTTTAATTTTAATTTTTTATTTTATTTATCGACTCTTGGGCTCAGAGTTGGACAGTCTGGACGTGACCTTGGTTCTAGGGTTTCAACCTTAGCAACCCCACACTTATCCGATTCTACGCCATGCGACGCTACCTGATGATACCCGACGCAAATCCAAACTCCGATTTTCCATAAGGTTGCATTACCCCCGTGCCCATCTACCCGATGCTATGCGACGCTAACCTACCCAAAGATCTGCGGTCCCCACTGTCCAGATTTTCGTCGGGTCGCATCGAGTACAGTCGAAGACAAAAGAACCGCACTCATATTTTTATTCAAACTACCTGTATTATTGTCGTTATATTAATTTCAACATACTTATTTTAATATAAACCAAATTAACTGTGATTAAAAATTAATTTTAATAGTTTGGTGGAAAATTAATCCAAACACCGAAATACGATTTTTGATATAATAAATTTAACTAACAATTTATTGTACTCGCTTCGGCGGTACATATACTAAAATTGGAACAATTTATTACACGGTTTTGCTCATAAAATTTAATTAACAATTTATTTCGTAGTTTTGCTCGTAAAATTACACCATTTTGAAATGTCGGGTAGCATCAGAACAGGACACTCATATTTTTTGTAGNAGCAGCGCATTTAGCTCATTATTATTTCCTATCCACAACAATATATTTATTTATCTATATATCTAATTGATATCGATCTATATATATTTTTTATTGATACCTGTATCTTGGTATACTTAAAAGTTGGTATTATTCAGATATAAAAGATTATAATTTTCTTCAAATCCTGCCTGCTAAGACAGAACAATTTCTTCAAAATCCTTCTCAGAGATTTATAAATCTTCAGCCTCCCTCGTACCTGGTGTTTTATTCAATTCTCCAGTTTTTCTATCTGAAGGCAGTTTCCAGCTCCAACTTAAGAACACACAACTAGTTCAACTAGTTGTGGTTCTAGGCTAATAGGTGAGAGGGCTGCCCGTTTGTTTTGATAGTCAACCTGTTCATTTCCCTACATAACTTCATGACCCGGAACCCATGATAAAGTAAACTGGTCGTGTTATTCTAGATCCATTAGGCAATTTAGGCATTCACAGACTAGTTTGAAACTGAAAGCATACGGATTTAGTGCCTTTACTGCCGCCTGTCCGAGAGTATGTAAATCTGTGTACCCATCACATTTTTATTTATCAAATCCTGTAATTTTTTGCTGTGGTGTAATTCCGCCATTTACATCAAAATCTACATCCTGTTTCTTTCTTAATGTCTCCAAGTACGATACAAGAGACAATTCCTGAAAATTGGAGCGCCTTTCATTTTATTCGTAAATAATTAAAAATTCGTAATTTTCTATATAACTTTTTTTGTCCGAGTGAAATTGACAAAAGAGAAGAAAGTATTTGTTTATTTTTTCACTTTAAACGTGATTTGGCCATTGTTTTTTTTAAACTCCACTTCTACCAAATGGATTTAACAGAAAATAGATCCACTAATTCAAACTTATCAAGCTTGACGTTTTCCCGTTGTTGCTAGATTTAAACTATAAAATAGTATTAATTTTTCTATTACTATATAATACACAAACTATATTTTAATTCGGAAATTAGTATCAGACCAAATATACGTAAATGACAGCAGCTTAACGAACGGAAAGTTCATCAAGGCAAGACATAAAGGAACGCTTGATTCACAACTTTAAAAAATTATTTAAAACATTTAAACTAAATCCCTTTAGAGCCACTTTCAATATGTGCATAAACTATAGTAGTTACAAAGGCAGTTAAAATGGCAACGGTTTTTATAGTTTATATTCTGAATTTTTATTACCATAGTTCGCAAAAAAAAAGTTTTCTATAAATTACTATTTTTCTTTTAAAAAGGGTACAATCATGATTTTTTTCTTAACCACTAGAAAATTGGATAGAAAATATTACATGGGGGAAAGATTTTTTTTATAATGTACATAAAATATTAGGGTTTTTCAAGGAAAACATAATATCGAGCTGGATGTTCATCGAGGTGAAATTTATTTAAAGACGTAATTCTGAACTTTGAATAACTTATTTAGACAATTCACTAGTTTTCGAGGTCCGCTTGACCAATTAATATGTTTCAATTAATTAAGTTTTTAGTTGAGATAAAAAAGTCAGTGTCACGAGCGGGATTCGAACCCACGATCGTCGGCTAGATTCGCCGCTGCTCTACCACTTGAGCTTTCGTGACTTCGATCCACTCGGACACCAACTTCCCATCTCAACTCCACCTTTCGAATTTTCCCTCCTTTTTGCCATTTTTTCAAATGTCGTGTAATCAATTTGATTCTCAGCGACAAATGAAATAGCCACGGACACTTATTTAAACACTTAAAAAGGTTCTAACCTACTACAAACGTTGCATTACGTGCAAAAATAGTAGTAGTTTAATTTACGAAAAAAGAAAATATTTTTGTCTGGAAAAATCGTCGTAATTTCCTTAATAATAAAATATTTAGCATTTAATTAAATTCTTATTTGTCGATTAGGTATACTAAATTTTACTTGAACGATTTTTTAACCTTTCCGGAACGGATTTTCTTATGTGGTAAGACAGGGTGATACGGGTACATTAAAGGGTTCTTATCGCAAGGAACATCTTCCTCTGTTTGCGACTTTCGGAGATAAAGTTGTGATCAATACTTTCCCGGTAATCCCGGGCTCCTGGAGAAAAATGCTCTACATAGTTTGTTTTTGCCTTGGTGGATTTAGACAGTCAAATAAACATTGCACTGTGTCCGGCTTGAAATATTTGTCTGTCTTTAATAAAATAAAAGCTAGTTTGGAAAATATGAGCTTTCGGCATTTGGGAAAGAATGTCAAAATGTCAAGGACGAAATATAGCATATTTTGGAAGAAACATTATATTTTTATGGATAAAAAATATTATTAAAAAAGATACATTGTTCAATTGATAAGACATCTATTAAAATAATCAAAAATATATTAATATCTGTGCAATAATAATTTTAGTTCATGAGCAAACCTAGACGTTTCTAAATTGAACATTGTTTTGTTTACAAAAACAAGAACAAATAGACATCTCTCTCGGAATATTAATAATAAACCGGTCGTGGAGAGAGGTATTGAAATATTACTAGAAACATTTTAATATTCACCACTATTTTCTGCTTTGGAACAGCTTCAACTTTCATTAAGCCGGATAACTCTCTGGTCCAATTGAAATCGCAAACCAAAGGATTGGTGTTTTTTTTACAAACATTTTGCTATAACTTTATCTTTTTGTGAACAATTTTAAATCATATTGGAGTATTGTTTTCAGCGTAAAACATCCTTTAAAATTATGTGTCAAAATTCATAGAGTCGTATTTCAAATTTTGAAATTGAACTGGGCCTGACGTACCTTGTATTATTTTTCTCGAAAAAAAGAGAAAAATTTGAAACTAGACTATTAAACACGTATTTTTTTTATACATAGCGTCGTTATTACAAGATAAATTCAGCCGGGCAATTTAAAAAGGACACTCTGTATATGTGTGTATATAATATGTACGTATATCTGCATATATATGCTAGTGTATAGGGAAAAAAAATATGTATGTATGTATGTATGTATGTATGTATGTGTGTGCGTGTGCGTGCGTGCGTGCGTGCGTGCATGTATGTATGTATGTATGTATGTATGTATGTGTGTGTGTGTGCGTGCGTGCGTGCGTGCGTGCGTGCATGTATGTATGTATGTATGTATGTATGTATGTATGTATGTATGTATGTATGTATGTATGTAGGTATGTATGTATGTATGTATAGTATTATTGGGTTTGTAAGGAATTTGAAAAAGGCATCAGCTCGGCAGACGGATTCAGTTCACGTCTTGTATATTTTTGGTAAAAACTTTATTGCATTATTGCATTATTGTAGATATTATAACCAATAAAATATGTTACATAAAAAATAATATTTGCAGACTTATAAATATGTATAGACGCAATAAAATGCTGAATTTAAAAATTTGAATGCGAATAAATCGGAAAGCAATAGTATTTGAAAGGCCTGCCTACCATCATGAAAAACCAAATTTTTAAAAATGATTAATCAGAAATCGTGAGATGCGGTCTGGTGTGATGAGGTTTCAGAGAAACATTTTCTTTATCGTGCCAACGTTTCGATCTTTATTGAAATCATCTTCAGCGCCTGGGATTTACAAGCAATTCCGACATGTGTTTGTTAAACTTCAACAATGTTTGTAAATCCCAGGCCCTGAAGATGATCTCGATAAAGATCGAAACGTTGGCACGATAAAGAAATGTTTTTCCGAAACCTACATCACACCAGACCGCATCTCACGATTTCTGAATAATCATCGACTAACGGTCACTAATCACCACACATATTTTTAAAAGTTAGTAGTTAAAATCATTTCAAAATATTATAAAACAAAGGAATGGTCACTAAAATATTAATACGGCAATGTGTTTTTCCATATGTATTGATTCCGTTCTGGTTTTAAAATATACAATTCGTATCTTTTTTTTGTTAGCTTTCAGTTAGAGCGAAAAGCGATTATTTTGTAAATTTTTACCCCTCCGGAGGACCGCTGGTCTAAAACAAAGTATCTGATTACGCCGGAACGACAAAGGGCTATGGTGCTGTAAAGGGCCTCGGAGGGCTGTAAAGGGATTCAACCCCTTATCTGACCGGGGTAACCCAAAGACAGTCCTAATTACCGGGTGTTTTACCACTTTTACACGACGGAAAAGGGCTGTTGTTCACCGGGAAAAAAACCCGGTCGAACGGTAGAATGTTTTTACCCTCGGTCAAGAGACTACGTGTTTTGATGTTATTTCCAACCTATTGTTATACGATTTTAAGGAAAAAAAACACGAAAAATGTGGATTAAAAATAGGTTTCATTTTTTCTGAGTGTACTAATTTCTTTTTCGGATAGCGCTTGAATAGATTAAAACACAACATAACGGATGGGGCATGGTGGTTTTGCATAGCGGAAAATTGTTTAGCCGAAATCCCTGGAATTATTCTTTCCTACTACACACTATTTCTGGTTTACTGCTGTTATTCTTCTCTATATAGACAGGCCAAATCACGCACGAATAGCACATTCTGAAAATAAGCTAAGTTCATCTAACGTTAAACTCTCCTAAATGTCAGAATGGAAATAAACTTGCAATTAAAGAGAACACATAGACATTAAATTATTATGGGAGTAAAACAGACCCAAAGGATGCCTGAAAATTCCTGTTTTGTTATATTATAATTTAGACCTCTCGGGCATGAGGGTAAACTCCGCCGATGTACCTTGTGGCCTCCTTAACTTCCCATCCTTTTACTAACTCCCCAACCTTATCTTTCACTCCTGTAACCCCCCTTTCCCAAAACTAATCTCTTCCTTTTCCTATCCTCGGCGTCCCAGGGTCTAGGGAGGGGAGGTACGTCGGTCTACCTTAGTGGCAGCCCATGGGCCGACTAGGAGTGACTGGATAGCTACCTACCACACTGAAAATTAGCTGGCTTAGATTCCATTAAATAAGGCCGTAGACCCGGAAGGACATGCCGGTGAGCATGTAGATAGGGATCATCCACATGCTTTTCCACTGGATCCCGTCAGAGCTGTTGGGGCGAGTCGCACCCGACCAGAGGCTACCACAAGGAGGACTACATAAAGGCTTTCGTTTGTGAAAAGTATGGCACCGCAAGTACTCACCGTCCCCACAAAATTAGTATAGGTATGTTATATATTTGTAGTACGATGTGAGGGACGCCTCATTGGCATTTCGTTGGTACTATACTTCCGAAGTGTAGTGTCGTTCCAGAATGAATGTATTTATTAGCGTGAGAGGTGATGCGTGAAAGGACGTGGCTGTCGAGGAATATCGAGACTCCACCAGCCCGTAAATAAATTTAGATTAGGATAGTTTAGTCTATGAGTGGAATTTGTAAATACCGTTTGAATGTATTTATTAGTGTGAAAGAAAGGAGGCCGCAAGATCACGTTCTATCCAATTTAGTTGTAGTGTAGGTTAGTAAATTAATAAGAATGTGAATTATGAAAATGTGTATACATATTATACATATACATATTATCGTGTATAGATATATACATTATATCTATGAATTTTAATTTATCACGTGTGGAAGGGTAACAACAAACAAGATAACGAATCTCCTATTAGGTGAATCGGAAGGCAACAGTCGTTTAGTTGAGGCATAAGAAGACTCAGAAATGAATGTACACATAAGAAGGCGCCGGCAATGACCATGGTAGTTAGCCGGCAAAAAAAAGTAATAATAATAAAAAATAAATTAAAGTTTTTAGTTGAGATGAAAAAAGATAATGGCACGAGAGGGATTCGTACCCNCTCGTGCCATTAACTTTTTTTCATCTCAACTAAAAACCTTAATTAATTGTAATGTATTAATTGGTCAAGCGGACCACGAAATTAGTGAATTTAATAAAAAATAATTTACATAAATAGATATTTAAAAGCAATAAATCAAATAAAATTTTATAATTTGAATTTTTTAATTCTTTTGTTTTGTCATTGTTCATTTTATTATTTCGTTAGAAATGTACAACATGAATCAATTTTTTTAAGCAAAAAAATGATGGAATAATATAATCCAACAGGTTTTCATGAATAAAATAGTTTTTAGATTATTTAAAATCAATTTTTTTCCAACTTATCGACCCTGATCATTCTATCGAGTTTGAAAATAAACCGTTCTTAACTGAAGATGTCAATAAGACTATACGATAATAAGTGAAATGCTAAGCAGCTACAATACGACCCAGGTGCATTGTATATAATATATATTATATACATCCTCCTGTATGGAAAGATTTACTTATTGTAATTCAAACTGAAACTACTTTTCACCCGGAAAAAATAATGAAAGTTTGAAAAATATACATGAAATATTGCTTGAACCATCAAAAATTAAATTGTATACGTCTAACATGGTAGATTTTACAGTTGTAAATTTAAGCCGGTGAAGTTTGAAATGCGACAAAAGCAATATTTCTTGAATTTTAACTACCCGGATCAAAACGGCCGTTTCTTTCCGGTTGATCCGCCCTTCAACATCAAAAGTAACCCGCCGGCCTTGGGCGGGGAAATGATGTCAATTTTAAAAGTCAATTTACTGCATGCCGTCGAGGCGATTCACCAGAGGAAGGGAGTTGTGTAAAACGGATAAAGCAAATAGAGTGGAGGAAAATTGCGGGGGGAGAAAAGCCTGCAGTTAATCAAGTATAGAACGCCCTCATTGTTGCCGGTAACGTTATTGCTTCTAATGGGCCGCCGCAACGACGGTGAAGGACTTTCAGACCATCGACCACAAAACTGAAGAGAACGAAATTTCAGTCTCTTTCCTGCTAATCTGGTAACTCACCAACCTTGATTTGGATTTTAGAACATGAACAATAATTGCCTATTAATAAATTTATGTTTACTAGCTAATTTATCGTAAATAAACCAGAATATATCGCTATAATTATGTGCCGTCTTGCATTATACCAAAATGCTTCCCTACAAGATGTATATTACAATTATATACAATTTAAATAATAATATAATTATATACAATATATACAATCAATAACTAAGGGGCTATTTAGAATAGTATATCTGGCCACCAGTTGCACATTCAAAATTGAAGTTGATGCGTGACTGCGTTATAGGATCACTAAATTTGCTGTAGTTTTGGCTGGGATAAGGTAACAACTGTGAGAAAGACAAATATGTTGGCAGAAGTCTAATGAAACGACAGAATGTCTACTTTGTAGTATTACTCCTGTTTTTGTAATAATATAAACTACATAAAAAATAATTAAATAAACGTTTATTTCATCAGCTCTGCTTTTAAGCATTGCAAGTTAAGGGATTTTTTTCAATTTTTTTAATAGATAAAAGCCAAAATTTAATTTCTCTGATCGTGATAGACATTTCCGTTTGGAGCTTATATATATGATGACCACATGATTTTATTAAATTTGTAAAACCAACGTATAAATATTAAAACATAAAGATAGCTAGAGGATAATTAGACAGATAGTTATCCAATAAGCGGATAGTTATAAAGGTAGAGTAAATTGATAGTAAATATATAGTCAGAGGATTGTAAAGATAGAATAATAAATAGATATGTAGTAAGATAGAAAAATAGATAGTTATATAGATAGATTAGATAAATATAAAAATATATATATATACATAGANGAGAGAGAGTAAAGGAGGGAGATAGAAAGGGAGGGAGATGGAGAGAGTGAGAGTGAGAGAGAGAGGGTGATAGAGAAGGATAGAGGAAGGGAGAGAGGGAGGGAGATAGAGAGGGAGAGTAAGAGAGAGAGGGTGATAGAGAAGGATAAAGGGAGGGAGAGAGAGATGAAGATGGAGAGAGGGAGGGAGAGTGTGAGAGGAAGAGAGAGAGAGAGAGAGAGCCATAGAGTAGGATAGAGTGAGGGTGAGAGGGAAGGAGATAGAGATGGAGGGAGGAAGGTAGAGAAAGAGACGGAGGGAGAGGTGAGAGAGAGGGAGTGAGGGAGTGAGGGAAAGAGAGAGAGAGAAATGAAGATGGAGAGAGGGAGGGAGAGAGTGAGTGAGTGAGGGAGGAGATAGAAAGATAGAGAGGGAAAGAGATGGAGAGAGGGCACGAGATGAAGAGAGATGGAGAGAAATAGAGTGATAGAGAGAGAGACGGTGATAGAGAGGGGTAGTGGGAGGGAGAGAGGAAGAGAGAGAGAAGGAGAGAGAGAGAAAGAGAGAGAGTGTGAGAGGAGATAGAAAAATCGATATTTTTCTGTTCTTTGATAAAACCAAAGAGAACGATGATAATTCGATTTGTATAAATATCCTCAAATATAAAATTATCTATATTAATTATTTTTGAAATTTGTATAAGGGCAAGTTAGTCTTACATTATTTCAGTTACATTTCTTAGTTTTTATTTTTATTAAAACAATAATTGTATATTTGATTTTTTTTTTAAATCGTGGTAATTATTATGGATTTAAATTTGTGAAGATTATAACTGACATTATTATTGTAAATTTGATATAAAGTGTATTGGCTGAAGAGGGATAATTATAATATGGAATAGACTGTTATTTAATATAGTTCAATGTAAATTGGGGCTTCATTATGTATGAAACCACAATTTTCAATATGGTAAATAAATACTCATAACTGTTAACATTGTGAATTATCAATAACAATTTCAAATGAAGGAAATAGGTGTTTTCTGAATTTTTTGAATAAAATACTTCAATACTGTAAACATTTCTTTACATTGCCTGTCTTTTAATTTAAGTTTTAACCTAAATCGGTAGAGTACAAGCGAAATTTTCATTCATACTTACAATTAATTAATATTTTAGCAGTAGGGTTATCAAGAGTCTTACCAAAGGAAACCGACACGCTCTACGTTTTTGAAAAACCAGTCTGCTTTTTACAAAACTGTACAAATAAGAATCCGCATCTTCCGGCCCATTGTGTGAATACAACTTCCTCAGAGTGACGCCTTTTCCGGACAATGAGACATCCCCTTCGCTTGTGACATCGTTCCAACTTTGAAACAGCTAAAAAAATATATACAACAGTAGAAATGTCAATTTGTCCTTGAACATAATTAATTTCAACTAAATTTTTTCTCTATTTGATTACACTGACCTTAGCCCACCAATTTAAAAAGGATATTTGGTAAGGGGGCGTCGGTGGCGGCAACGGTTTGGGCATTGAAACGGCGCTCACCACGGTAAGGTAAAGGTCCCGGGTTCGAATCCAGCGGCCCTGCATTCGACATGCTTACAATTTTTTTTTTTTCAAAAACACCGGCATCCCGAGGATTGATTTAACCTCTGCCGTGGAGAACCGTCGTAAAAAAAAATCTCATGTGCATTTGTTTGATACCTTGAAATGATTTTTTAAAATTTATATATATATATATATTTTTTTTTTTTTTTTAATTTAAAGGTTACGCTCTTTTTCTGATGCGTGTTGTTGTTGAAAGATGTTATGTTTTTAATGAATTGGCATTCAGATTTCATAAGGAATCTTTCGACTTTTGCGGAATGGAAATGTAAAGCTTTTTATTCTCAGTCTTTAAAGAAGGGTTAAAACCATTTTTTCTGCCCAGTTTTCATGGTTGTGAAATTACGAATGGCATTTATTATGAGAGACAAAATAAAGAGTGATAAATATCTGAATTTAAGATGCGAAAAATGCTGAAAATTAGAAAAAATGCATTTCACTGAAAATAAAGCTAAGGAAATTGTAAAAGTAAATTAAAAGTAAGGTAAATAATTTTTTCCTCTTTTTGAATATAAAGGTAAAAGTTCCAAATGAAATTGTTACCATTAAACCTACTATTTTTCAAATTACCGAGATCTAATTATAGATAGAAAAACCCGGATGGAACTAACGATTGTAAGGTCAAAAATTGTTTCAAAAATATTTTTCAAGTTAATGTATTTATGCCATTAAAGGGCCAAGCACAAAAAATAATTCTGAACACCCCAATGGACCAATTTGTTGTAGATTAAGTTGGCATATTTGTAATAAAAGTCTGCATGTAGCTGAAATGACTAAATGGAAAATTCCTTAAAAAAAAAAGTAATATCAAAGTTTATAAATAACATTTAAATTGTTTGCGGTTTTAGTGTCTGACATAACGTAATGTAATCTTAAGGCCCAAAAATTCAAGAACCAATTTCCATCATCCATCAGCAAACTGATTGAATCGAACTATAAAGAACTGACACGAAACTTACGCGCCAGATGGATTTTCTTGAAAATTGGGCGCCACCCCCTTCGTCGATACAACAAAATCCAAAATTTTTCGCCCTTCCAGAACGCAATCGAAAAGGTTGGGTTACGGCTGGAAGTTTATGGAATGGGGCACATTTAGGGGAATTTGCGAAGCACCAGGAGTTTGCAATTACCAATAAAACAAAAAATTCCAAATTTCAAAATTTCTGTTTTTTTATAATTTTTCGTGCAGAACGTTTCTATCAATTTTGCAATTTAAATAGGTTTTCTTACAGCACATTTAACAGCACAAGCACAGCACAAGCCAGATATTCTACAGGCAGTAATTCTGGAGATTATAAGCAATTTAGTGCATCTAAATCGAAAAAAAAACCTTAAATTACTTTTTTACCGTTGAAACTTGGACAGGAGTCAATAGGAAGTTTTATGTTGCATATGGTAAATAGAAACATCCCATAAATTTTCGAAATTTCAGGAGGTGTATCTACTTACCATATGAAACAAAAATTCTACTTACCATATGAAACAAAAATCTTGCTATAAACCACTGTCAATATATATATATATATGCATCTTCCTATCAACTTGACGTCCCCTCGAAGAAATTTTACATTGAAACTGGCGTCCAGGGCAAAACAGCGTCCGTATATGGACGCCGATTCGCCGGGCCAGTGCTTTCAGCTCATCATCAGAAGAACACATGTACCAATTTTCCAGTGGACGTCCAGATTGCGCTACCAATATTTGTATATTGATAGTTCACGCAAATTCAGACTGAACGCCACCGTCGTTTTCGTATATTTTAAAGACAGTTTTAGTCTTACACTTCTCAGTGGGGTCGGCGTCCGATTTTACTACGGCGTATATTTTAATCGTACACATTTCAGTGGATTGAGCGTCCGATTTTACTACATTACCAGGAAACCCCTTCTACTGCTTTTTCTTGTTTCGGAACGTCGCCTGCCNTTTGAATATTGATAGTTCACGCAAATTCAGACTGAACGCCACCGTCGTTTTCGTATATTTTAAAGACTGTTTTAGTCTTACACTTCTCAGTGGGGTCGGCATCCCATTTTACTACGGCGTATATTTTAATCGTACACGTTTCGGTGCATTGAGCGACCGATTTTACTACATTACCAGGAAAACACTTCTACTGCTTTTTCTTGTTTCGGAACGTCGCCTGCCGGTAGTTTTCTGGGAATCAGTTTTATTTTTGTCCCAAATGAATCGAAAACTCAAAGAACCCTGTGCGAGGATATTCATACAATCGCCCCACAAAATGAAAATATATATATGTGCATGAAAGTAATATATATCTATATTTTTTTTTAAGGATTGAGGGTTATGTACAGAGCAGTTCTTTTCTTCCTCCGCGATCAAAACAGGAATACTGAGGAACCACTCTTACAGACCTTGGAAAGAGCGTTATTCCTTATAAAATTGAGAACTTTCCTTGATTTATGTTTTATGAGAAATGTCCTACCGAAGTGGCTGTACTCTAAATGGGCTAACGTTTCACATTCACAAAGGATATGTGCCGATGGCTATGGTTTCTCCTGACCATCTTCTTCAGATAATAGGTAAGACAGCAATGAGTGGTGTAGACGCCTGTAATTCTTCTCAAATCCTGCCTACTGAAAGAGACGATTTCCTCAGTCTTTTAAATATTTTAATATTAAAGTAAATTCGATCAGGGCGAATTTCCAAATCAATTGCCATTCACGTCTTAGCCCCGTTTGTTTAGCCAAGGCCAAGAANAAAAAAAGGCGTTTTTATATAGGGGTTTTATATAAAATGGTTATAAGACCAGGTCAGTGGAACAGTTATTATAATAAAGGGATTGAGAGAAAAAATCTGCATCAATTGGAAGAAATCAAAATCAAGGTATGAAAGCCGAGTTATATGAGAGAAAAACTGAAGAATATTTAAAGAGAACAGAAGGTAGCAGTGTAGGAATGCAATAAAAAATTAAAACGATTAAACTATTAACAAAAATAATATAAAACAGCATAGAAACAATTGTCACACACCGATTTATTGCATTTTGGATATATTTCTCAAGTAAACTCCCCTGATTAGCAAGTTGTTTGTATCAATTTCGCGGAATCACAGTAAATAATGTTTCAATTTTTTTTAAATGTCATGGGCCAACAATCATTACGTACATCCATTTATCCAGCAAAATAATAAACACACACAACAACTATAATAATGTGTGGTGATTAGTGACTGTTAATCGATATTTATTTAGAAATCGTGAGATGCGGTCTGGAGTGACGTAGGTTTCAGAAAAACATTTTCTTTATCGTGCCAACGTTTCGTTCTTTATTGAGATCATGTTCAGGGCCTGGGATTTACAAACATTGTTTAAATTTAAGAAATACATGTAGGATGTAGAAAAAAGTGAATTTATACTCACGATATTCGAATTGCCATTGAATGGCACACTTACGCAGAAAACAAACGCTTTGAGTGAATATAAATACTTTGATTGAATATAAAAAAATAATTTTTTTTGCATTGTATAAATTCACTTTTTTCCACATCCTACATGTATTTGTTAAATTTAAACAATGTTTGTAAATCCCAGGCCCTGAAGATGATCTCAATAAAGATCGAAACGTTGGCACGATCCAGAAAATGTTTTTCTGAAACCTAAAACACACCAAACCGCATCTCACGATTTCTGAATAATTAAAATTATAACTGCTTAGTTAAATATTTATTATACAAGGAGAACATTTTCAAGTTAAATCCTCTGGTTTTCTTAAAAGTTACACACCTTAAAAATAAATTCAAATTTTTGATTCCTAAGCTCAACTTTCTCAAATTGCGTTAAAAACAGTTTTAACCATAGAACTTTTTTGATAGCTTGCGTCAATATACTGAAAAAACTGAACGACATTTTTTTTCAAATATGAACGAATCAAAGATGATGATAATAGATACTAGGAAGTGAAAAATAGTGTATTCGTAGTCTTCTGGCTTATTGCACTTTCCTATGAACAGCTTTCCTACAAAACCGGTAGAAAGCAAAACTAAGCAGGCAATTTTTGTCACGAATAAAGGAAAATGTTATAGTTTTATTCCTTTCCTAGAGCCCTTTAAAAAGGAGAAACAAGCGCTTTAAAATGAAGTTCACTCTTTATAGACGTTATTGTTATTAAGTCTCGGCGAATATTCAATTGAAGCAACATCTGCCTTTTATGCCGGCAAGCTGTGAACCCAAGGTGGACTAACTTGCTTCGATATCGAAATAACAATTTCATTTAATATTTTTAACAACCTGCACTTTACCAGATAATGTTGAAAATTTAAATGTACATAATAAAGTTTTTATTTCATTTTCCGTTTTTCTTGTAAACAAACTGAAATAAGATGAATTATTCCTTACACCTTGTGCCTGGAACAAGTTACACCCATTTTTTTCTAAGGGATAAAAACTAGAAAAATTTCAATTATTAAACCCCACCCCCTTAATTTTCGACGTAAAAATTGATTAAGTACTGAAATCTGTAATTTTTACACATGGCATTATACAGATGATACCCAAATCTTAAATTCCAATGGCACGTCATACTTTTCTCTTGAATTAATGGAAATAGATCTATTTCAAACACAATATTTCAAAAAATCAAGAAAATTTGTTAAGATTTTAAGTACGTAAGCTTGCTGTTTTGATAGACAAAAAATCAAATTTTATCTTTTAAACGTGTAGTAGAATCATAATTGAAAGTTCTCTCTGATAAACGTTTAAATTTCATAATTGCATTGCAAGCCTTCAAAACGATATATTTTTTACATATAATAATTTTTATAACAGGTCAATATTTGTCCTATTTGGCAATTTCAACTTTGAAGTACATGAGCCTGCTCTGAGTTGCCTACTACAATGTAGTAAATATTTCTAAGTAACGTACTTGATGCAATGGGCATAACATCAGTACTTTTTTTGTATTTAGTGGAAAACGGGC